CTTCAGCTTGACTGGTGGCTGATTATCGGCAGAAAGTTGTCGTACCATATTTCCCAGCCCTTCTGCACATTGCGGAGGCCATCAGTTAACTTCAATACTAATGGAATGTGACATTCCCAATTTGGTTGGAATTCGTCGATGGGCTGCATCTGCATGGTTATTCGTACAGTCTTCGCTGTACATTATTTTACAATGTACCGACTACATTTCTGACGGAAACAACGCTGAACATCTTGTATTTCCTCTACGACTCAAGCGACTGAAGAAGACTACCCAAGAAACAGCTGCAGTTCTTTGGGAAGTTCTTCCGCCAGTCCGCCGACTGCTTGATTTAGTTTAGCAATAGGCACGAACGTCAATGCTGTTACTTTCCACGCTTTCAAGGCAAAACCAAGTAAATGCAGTTCGCCCAAAAACGCTTCTTCATGCTGCACATCAGACGGTAAAAACAACTATGAAACTGAACACCTGGGAATGCGTTCTTCATTGCGTGCATAGGTGCAATTTAGAAATGGCAACCAATAGAATCCCGGCGAAGTTCTGGCACCGCCGCTTTCACTACTTGAAAGAGTCTGTTGCAAGTATTCTCATACTTGTTTGGCAAAACCGCATACAAAACAGAATGGACAACACCAAACCTTTCTGCCAGCACTGCATTGACTTGAGAGAACAGTGGCAGTGCAAATCGAAATATCACATCTGCAAACCACTTTCTCGACTCCCTCAAGATCTGCAGGTTTCCCTGATTGCCAAATATCGTATGCGATTTGGGCCCAGATCCACCGTCACCAGTCAGGAGCTGTTCATAAGCACCTAATTGCTGCTCGTATGATTTATAAGATTCCGGCAGAACCAAAGTTTCTAAATTCTGCGAAGCAGCGTTCATGTCATTCCTTCTCGCTATGACAATTTTCTTAAGATCAGGTAAATTTTTTCGAGCTCCTTGTGAGAGTCGAACTGTCCACTCATTAATGATTTGTACGATTGATTCGGTACTTTCTTCGGCAAGCCTTTTAACTCCGGTGACAAGTTCAGCTATCTCCACACCAGTGGCCAAACAGCCATGAAAATGTTCTCCAAGTTGCATAAAAACCGTCGTACCTGCTGCGTGAATCCTTGCCTCGCAATAACTGTTTGTTCACAGCGCCGAAAACTCCATTGCCCTGTCGTTACTCTTCCTGTCGAACACGTTGCAAAAGTTTGCGCGTTTCGACAGCAGCACTATCATCCTCAGCACACTCTATGACTCCGAATATTAGAAGTAGTAAATCGCAGTGGCTGCATTACAGAATTAAATAATTAAATCAAATTTTGGAATTTGAAAATTTCACACAAGCTTCGCAGCTTGTTCACGAAAAACTACCGTCGACAAGCAAAATGTAGAATTTGCAATGGTCGATAAATTACTGTCGACCAACTTATTGACCTAACGCAGCGATTGCTATGAAATTATAAAATAACACTGAATCCTTTAAATTGACAAGTTCGACAATCTAATGAAAAATGGGCGAATGAGGTAGCCAAATCAAGCGTCTCACGCTTCTATTCATCGGTTAATTACAAATTTAACTAGCAACAAATTGACTGTGAGTTGATTTATAATGATTTCGTGACATCGGCATATTGCAATCATTAAATTCATTTGGAAATTCAATGTTTTGACAAAAGTTACATATTATGCTAAAGAAGAGTTTTTTATTGATATGCAACAAGACGAGCTTAGTCAAGAAAGAGGCAGGGACATGCTTCTGAAATTTTCATAAATTTTAACTCGCAATTATTAATGTGCCGCATTACTTGAACGTCTGACGAAGATGCCAACTTTGAAATTGATGCTTATTACGAATGTTTTTTATTCTGCGTACAGAGAGCTTTCCAGCGATGAGAAATACATCAAGTAATTGCAGCAGATAACCGCCTGCAATTATGCTAACTCTGACTCACGATCAAACAGCGGGGACCTCGCGCAATCACCCTTATGGAATCAAAAAATGGAAGTTATCGATATTCTGACTTTTACATCTTTTCGCATTGTACTCGCATAGCGATTTCATCGATGGACAGTATGATGGGCGAAGGCAATCACTGATACAGAAGATCATTCGCCAATGACAAAAATTCAAATTCGTGACCGCAGGTTGTGTGCTGGAAGTATTGACATCGCATGGCCATCACGATGGAATTGCAATAAGAAATTCACTAGTTCGACAGCGGCAAAGCTATCGACTGATATATGACATGATGGACTGAATCACGCAGTTATGCAACTGACCACTGTCCATTCGAGCAGATTCAGTGGAGCGACAGGAGGAGGAAGTGCTGACAGCAACCAGCGGTCGCAGACCGTTCCGAAGAGTTGCAAACCTTTCGTTAAGTTATCCTGAAAGGCTTGGATCTGCATAGCTATGTTATAAGCAATAAATTGAGTTCAATTCATTATGACTTTCTGCGTTGCCGATTTATATGAAGAAGTTCTGGGTGTTAGGTGCGCTTCACAAAGACGCACTCTATCGTGCTATGCTGAGTTTCGTGGGTAGCTTCCCCGTAGACCTAATAAGCCCTCATTTTTATACGCATTAAATTTAATGACGTGTTTCAGGCTTTTTCAAGCATATCCAAATTTCAAGTCATGTTTTCCGGCCCTTCGACACATCAACGATATGGATTTGATAAATAGCACTGTGCTGCGAGATCATTTGGACGTGACTTTGGAGAACATTAAAAACCTGATCCATGGCCTGGATAATCCAACGGAGTTCTTTAAAGAACTGGGTAAAGCAGCCGTCGCCCACGAAAGGACAAACGTAAAGCGACATCACATTGAGGTAAGAAAAAGACGATTTCTAACGAATCTTAGTAAGCTCAGACAATGTTTCACCCTCACTGTGAGAAACGAGACGTCTCGGTTCTAAAGAGCAGTCAACGGCCAAAGCACGAGAAAGGAGCAACTAAAATATACATTTTTGAGGTAGTACGGTGGAGCCGAATGCCTATCAAAAACAGTGAAACTGCCCAATAGCGAAGTCACAAATGCCGAAGTTGAAGGAACTCATATTGCCCTCTAAGAGAGTTCAGCATAACAGAAAACAATTCTGGTTGTCATGCTCAAATGAAAAGTTAAAACTACTCTCCCTGTTTATCTCTGAAGAAAGCATGGTGAAATTTTCCATCGTTCAGAACGTAAACGTAGAAGATGGCATATAACTAAGACTCCGCATAGAGACTCCGGTCCGGTAGTTGCGTTGCTTGTGATTGACATCATATATGAAGAGGAAAAATTATTAAAAATCTGGAAAGTCTAATGACGAAAGTAACTCTGAAATTTATGAATTTTCTTACCCGCTCCTCTCAGCAGAAGATATGTACCATTTTCGCTGTCTTTTTTCAGTATTCATCTCCAGTATCTTCGTGACAGCGACCAAAGTACGGAAGCGTATGAAAACTTGAGGTGATACCCCCGAAACCGCTAGGAGTGACATTAAAGCTTGTCTCGAACCCAGAAGCGGTCCTCTAACAAATCTCAGACGACGGTGATAGGCAGAAATCCTCTGCATATTTAAGCAAATCTGCCCAAAAGGAGGAAGCTCTGACTACACGTCCTGACAGAAGAATTGAGTTCCGCCGTACTCATTAATTTCTTAGAAGCAAAGTGAACATTCATTGTGCCGTGTGTCCTGAACTCGGAGGACAAAGAATTTTGAGGTAACAGGAATGGAAGAATGTTCGATGCTAGGGAACATAGGGAAAATATTGTTTTCCGAAAAATGAATAGTCAAATTCTGCAAAGTCCGGACTAAAATCATTGTCGGAATTTGTGTATCCGCATAGCTATCCCTCTTTAAAACGGATGAACCTCGTTACTGTGTTATCATGATCAAAGTTTCAGGCGCTGTTCCCCATCCTCATTGACACGCTATGTGAATTATCGGCTGTCGATCAAGAAGAATACGAAGCGTGGAAAAAGTTGTTCGACGTGATGAATCACTACCAGGATATGTTGCGAACTGGCATCATTAAGACTTCTGATGTGTAATGTTTTCTGCTCCCTAAACGAGTCTGCCCCTCGCTTTATCAGACTCACCGTTGACTGATTGCACATTCGCACTTGTTTCATGTTCAGCTGCCCAACGTTCTTAAACAGTAATTTACCGTCACAGCTCAGAAGCCATTCATCTGTTATGAATTTCCCACGAGCTTCGTCCTCACTGTTGTCACCAGTGCAGTTGCACTGGTCATACGCTATGAAATAAGTTCTAGTTATGTTCATTGTAGCAATTTCATAAAATAATATGCGCAAGAGTGGAGATCTTTTAATGTCTATAAAGCGGAAACAATTACTTACTCAAGATTTTTGAATAAATTTACCTCAGTTAAGACGCCACGCAAACTGGCAAGTTTCGTTTAAATGATTTGCTAACAAATTATCATGTTTGATTGCCCATTCGATCACTAGATAAAAATATTACCAACCGAAAACCGTGTTACCAGCAGTTTAAAAAGCACAATGACACAACCGCGATGCTCTGTGATACTTACCACAAATGGCAGTTGCACAGTAATATTTTCTATATATTTGCCTGCAGATAGTAGCAAATTTTGTTGATCGTCGAGTATGGCCATTTTTGCCCCAACTTAAAGATGCCGCCTTGAGTCCCATGCAGTACCATAGCTTAACTAAATTAACAGGAGATGTGGCCAGCTTAGATAGCCCCTCTAGGTGATTGGAAACAAGGGGTTGTGCACTGCTGTGGTAAAATTATAATATACAAGGGAAAAAGCTTCAGGACATCTGTCCTCAATAAGCTAGCGAAGCATCAAGAGGAAATCACTCACATGCAAAACTCTGACATGC